CAGAATGTCGTCCCGCGAGAGTGTGTTTCGATTTTGCAAACGCAAACGCATAATCGTCAAAATTGGATCTAGGTGAAAAGGGAAAGACCCGGCGTGACGCGTGAAATAAGCCGACGAAAAGAAAGGATGGACGGAGGTTGGAGTAAAGGAAACGAGGAGGAAGTGGCCGTATGGAAAAAGAAGGACCGTGAGAGAAGGCGAGAACCGAAGAAGAAATTATGGGGTACCCGTGCGGCCGAACGTGCCGACCAATCGCGTGACGCGTCGAAAATACGATTCGCGCCGGAATAGTTGCCATTGGCGTTCCGCGCGGCAAAGCGGGCAAAGTACTTGGACGGCAGCGACATTTCGGCGGCGGCGCGCCACGCCACACGTGGCAGAATCCGCTGCGCGTGCGCAAAGCGCGTCGGTTCTTCAACGAAGGGGGAGAAGGTAGGAGAGGGGTCGCGCGGGGGCGCTCGCGCGCAGTTCCGCGTGTCGGTGCCGACTGCCGACGCGACGTCGAGCGAACGCGCAGGCGCGCTGCACCCGCCAAGAAGGGTGAATGCGCCTGCTGCTTGGCTCACGAGAATGCGGTGTTGCCGTCGTGCACAGGTCCGTTTCGGCACCGTTGCCGAATCGTGCTGGACCCCGACAAACCGGACAAACACCGAGGCCGGGACTGCCGGGAGACTCTCCCGCCCGCGCTACTTGCTAACGGATTACGGTGGAAGGTTAATCGGTGACGGACGAGAGTTCGTTATTCAATCGCGATTGCCGCTGCTTCTTTTTTCTATCCTTCCTCCCTCCCCCTCCTCCCTTCAACGAGGCAAAACCGAAGATAAATGAGGTCCTCGTTCGACTTCTCAGGCACACGCACGCGCTTTCTGTTTTTCAAAGAAATCCGTATCGCGAAAGAGTCCCGTATCGCGGCAAGAAATTGCACACGCATTGGTGCAAACGTGCGATAGCTGGCAGCTCCAAGATAAACTAACGGCGGCTCGCGTACGCGAGAATGATCGCGAGACGTAAAAAAATCTACTCTTTTCATATACAGTCGACCCGGAGCGA